TAGTGAATGTTTTTTCTCAAGGGTTTCGTCGATACAGAGGTGTAGCTAACACTGGAAAGCGGAAACCCTGTATCGACAAAATCCTATCTAAAGCTAAAAGCTAAAGAAGGAGATCCAGGGAAGTGTGCTCTGCCAGCAAAGGAGTAGTCAGAAAGAGTTCCTTGCCCGAGATAGCAAACACCCGCATACGACCTAATGCTAGGATAATGCCATCGAACCAAGTGTTCGAAATGATCAGATCTTTTTGCGATCAAAAAATGATGAGAAATCCAGACCAGATATGAAGGTTAATATTCAGTAATTGTGCACAGGTAAATACTCAGTAAGTGAACACCGAACATGTGCTCCTGGTGTCCGGGATTTAGGGCTCTGAGCTTTCCCTAGTCGAAAGAGAAGGGGAATAATCAGTACGATTGACTTTGAGTCCGCCTACAACGGGGACATAAGGTTAAAGCCGAGAAGTAGGTTCAAAGCCGATATCCGCACGCTCCTAACCTCCCTTGTTTTGCGTCTCCGACTGTACGATAAGTAGTCCACCCTGAGGTAGTGGATTTTGACTAGACCAATAGCCTGCCCTCTGCCCCTGGGCATTTAGCAGAGGAGTGCGCTAGGCTCGGCTCGGGATGAGCTCCTTAGCTAGTCCCAGCTAGAAGAAGTCAGCTTGCTTGCTTTCCTGGAATGGGAATGGAAACCTATAGGTTCTGCAGAGCTAAGCCGGTAAGCAATCCTCTTCATTCTGCGAGCTAGAAATAATCCTGACTTCCGGGCAATCAATCAAATAGTTTCCTGGTTTTCCATTCACAGAGGGTAAGGTGCCAGTCTCATAAAAAAGAAAGGCTAGCAGGCAAGCGAACCAAGCCAGTTCCTTTTGTTTGAGTCTGTGAAACTCCGACGCTTTTATCTTTTAGCGAGTATTAAGTTCCTGGCCTTGTTGTGTCACGAAGGTTCGAAAACATTTGATTCTTGCTTGATTTCTGTCTTCCGCGGATTTTCTTTCTTGCTTGGCGAATTGCCTTTTTTAGTCATTTGTGTTGTAATCGAAAGGAATCATTTTTCTTTGATACCCCTCAGGGGATGTCTTCGCTCGTTTAACCTTACTTCTATTTCCCTCTATCCCGCCAGCCAGCCTACAAAACTACCTTCATTACTGAAAGGGGTTTGTTTTTAGAACAGAATTTGAGGATGGTGGTGCATCCCTTTAGCGCTCCATCAAGCAGTTCTTTCCGGCTCCTGTAGAAGATGACATTTAGTGCTCGCCCGTCTACGGGCACCTCTTCGAGTTAATAACAAAATCCTCGTCTTAGAGCTAGGGCTATGGAGTGTGAAAGATAAAGTATAGTTGGTTGTTGGAGTTCCTCTGAGCACACAAGACAGAGTGCCGTCCGGGGTTTCGGTTTTGTTAGCATCATGCGACAGAAAAGAAGGTAGTACTTCAGTCGCCTCCGATACCATAGGGAGCGGCCATAAAGTGTTGGAGGGGAGGCATGGGATCCCTTTTTTTTGGTGGGGGAGAGGAGAAGTGTTTGCTAGCGGCCCCAATCAATGCCCAGGAGCAGAAGCGCTTTCTAAGTGTTTTCTCACTTGGTCGATCTGGCAGTTCATTTCAGTTCCGTGGCTAAATAGTTAGCTATCAAGCTGGTGGGACTGGAACTCAACCTGCACATGTAGTAAGGTTGGGTCTCTTCCCCGGAACAGTAGTTCCGCTTTTCCTGAAGTCAAACAATGAAACTAGTAGAGGAAGGAAGCGATGACAGGAATGTCGTAAAGGAAGACGAAGAACCGACTACTTATGCGCTTGCCCTTTATCTGCCCTACCCGCCCCCTTCTCTTCTAGGGATGAGGAAGGAAGAAGGTGATGTCCGGATAAGCTCCAACTGGAGAAATTGGAACTGGAAGAAGCTATGCTACCTTTGGCTCGCCCTCCCTTCTGCTTTCCGCTTCATTGCCTTTCTCAACTCAACTCTCGTGGCACTGGCCGTAACATCAAGATCTGAAACTCGAATAAGGTGGAAGGCGCACTTCCCTCTTGAATTGCGTTTGCGGGGCTTCTTGCCTCGGACACTTTGGTGGGTGGAGTCCAATCCACAATGGCCTGCACTTTCCTCCCATCCATTCTAACCTGGCCTTTGCTAATCAAATGCCCAAAGTATATAATTCCTGTCGGGCAAAGTCACTCACACTTTTCCATCTTTACATATAGCTTGTGCTCCCTTAACCGAGTGAGCACTTTCCTAAGGTGGGACAACCTCTAGGGACTTACTATAGACAACAATGTCATCAAGATAGACAACAAGAAAGCAATCAATATAGTTATAAGTTCTAAAAGACATCACTCATCAAATTACAGAAGGTCATTTGTAAGCCCAAATGGCATGACAAGGAACTCGTAAAGCCATATCTATCTGGTAACAGAAGTGGTTTTAGGCTCGTCTCCTTCTGCAATTCTGAGATTGATTGGTAGAACCCGCCCCCCTCTGTCTATTAAAAAGGGCGATTTCCC